ATACAAGTATGGAAAAAATACGGCATTTTCAGAGTTCTTTAAAGAGTTCATTGTGCTACAGTGAGAGTTTCTGCAAAAGGGTAGAAAAAGACACGGACGGTCCTTTCTTACGAGCATCCAGTAGCTTCTGGACTTTACTGGAAAGCTGTGGGGAGCCACTGGAGGATTTTAAGCAGAGATTTGCTGTGATCTCATATTAAAAGATCCCAGTGGATAGCAGATTGAAATGGGGTATATATGTACACCAGGAAAGAACACCTGGGAGATGTTTTAGTCCTCCAGGGGCCCAATTGAGGATTTGACCTAATGGGGATGGGAAAATGGCAGTATTTTAAGAGATAATAAGGATCTTACAATTATTACTTGAGCCTTTTACTGTTGGAATCCACAGTCTATAAATATTATATTGAGTGAATGAATTTGTGATCTACTCAGGTGGAAGGTGTGGGAGGAGGAAGAAGTTTCTTGTCTGGATGAATAGGTGGGGCTGGGCTCTTATCAAAGGGAAAGAAAGAGGGGCGAGCAGCCAGGAAGAGGAAAGAAAAAAGAGTTAGTTCCATTTTGTATTTAAGCTTCAGGCCAGGTGCCAATGACTCACTCCTGTAATCCCAGCTACTCAGGAGGCAGAGATCAGGAAGATTGCAGTTCCAAGCCAGCCCTGGGCAGATAGTTCTCGAGACCTATCTCAACAAAACCCATCACAAAAAAGGGTTGTCGGAGTGGCTCATGATGTAGGTCCTGAGTTCAAGTCCAGTACCAAAAAAAAAAAAAGATTCAATATGCTTTTGAGACATCTGAGCACAAGTACAGAGCTCCAAAAAAGAATGTCTTGGAAAGATAGAGTTGGGAGTCACCAGCCTCCTGCAGGAAGAGAGGACGTTGTCCAGGAAGAATGAAAGGAGGAGAAAAAGACAAGTCTGGACCACTGGAGACCCCGGGAACACCAGCATATGGGTTGATGAAGGAAAAAGAGAACAAGGAAACATAGTAAGGAGGTAAAAGGAAAACCAAGAGTGAAAAGAACACATGTCCTAAGTTGAGGGACTTCAGTTTCAAGACCAAGAGGTCCCAGAAAAAGTGATTCGTCTCCGGAATAGCAGCTCTTTGGTGACAGAGCTTTTTGTCTGTTTTGATCACTGCTGTATCTCCAGCACTTGGTATGAGAGCCTGGCTCATAGTGAACGTTCAGTGCAGTTGAATGAGTGTGTGAATAAAGAATGGATGGAAGAGTGCACTGATTTAGTTGCAGAATCACAGGACCTTGGCAAAGTCATTTTCGGAAGAGGGTGTTGGAAGCCAGGCTATGGTCGGTTGAGGAGTAGCCAGAATGTGAGGACGGTTGCCCAGCTCAGGAGTGCTTCCCATGTGCCAGACACCAAGCAAAGCCCTTGGCACTCATTCAGCCTTCCCAGCAGCCCAATACAAAGTACTTTCGTGGCCCGCGTTTTACAGAAGAGGAAACCCTGCCTCGGCCCCACAGCAAAAAAAATTGGGACCAAGATGTGAATCCAGATCTCTGTCCTCGAAGTTCAGCTCCCGACTGCTCGGGCTACATTTTCTCTAGAGTTTTTTTGTGACAGAAAGGTGAGAAAGAAAGGGTGGCTGTTTTGAGATGACCTGCATTTGAGACCAGGAAGATTGCAACTACTTTAATGACGATGGGAAAGAGTTGTTGGAAAGAAGTAATTGGAAGACTTTGGGGGAAAGGGAAATAATTTCTACAAGAGGAACCTGAGGAGAGAGAGAGATCCAGTGCACCTGTAAAGGCAATCCTCTTTCACTGAAGTGGGGAGAAGGTGAAGACAGGCATGGGTTGCAGACATTTAGGAGGATGGCGGGCAGGTAAGGAGTTCTCCGATGATGTGCTGAGAGCTAGAGAGGTGGGGTCTAGTTACAGACTTGAGGAAAGAGTCCTGCTGAGATGGGAGACCATGGGTTTGTCGTGGTCGGGTCCTGTTCTGTGGCTTTCTCCCTTCTCTTCAGTAGGGCACAGTAGACAGATGGCAGATACTAGATGGTTCAAGGGTGAGGGTTTTGTGCTGTAAATGTGACAGAAGAGAAGGGACAAGTTGCTGAGAGTATTGGTTAGATCTTGTCTGAAGCATTGGCTCTGCATATCCAGTCCGGCAAAGAAGGACATGAGCACAGGAGGGGGAGAAGACAAGAAAGGAGTGGAGAACCAGAGAAAAGTCAAATCTAGGACTTTAGTGTAAGAGGGTCCTTGTTCTCAGAATTCCATGTTCACAGATGACCTGCTGTGACAAGTAATGCAAAAATTATGCTAAACAGGGAGTACAAGGATGGAAATGCATGGTGGGGGGCTAAGGAATGTGACATACACTGTATTTTTAAATTGGAAATGCTTTTTTACTGTTTGAATTTTCAGTTAGTGAATATGACTTTTTTAGTTAGAAAAAGATAAAACCTTCTCAGTGAACCCAAATGAAAGAACAGGTTTAGATCAAAGTGGGGAGCTAAGGGACCCTAGAGTACATTGTATGTCTGTGGAGTCATGAGGTGTAGTAACAGGAACCTGGCCCCACCCTGCCATTGTTTATAAGGAGGAAATGGAAGGCCCGAGATTCACTCAGCTGCAGAACCAAGAGTCAGACCAGCCTTTTCTCATTTCCCAGCCAGTCCTCATGTTATGGGCAGTTTCCTATGGTCCCAGCAGGGCTGCTGATGCACAGGCCCATGTGTTTGCTGTCTACACAGACCGTTTGCATCAAGCTTCCCACATCTCAGTTCTTGTGCAGGAGGCGTATTGTATGTCTAGGCGGCTGTATTGGCCCCTGCCTACTTCCTGCTCTCTTCAGAGTTTGCATGGTGGCTACATGGAAGTGGAAAACCACAGCAGTGATACTCTGTTTACATTCTTATATTTGACGTTTGACGTAACATCCCTCCTGTTTTGCCACTTCCCCCTTGAAACTTGTTTAAACATCAGCCATGGCTCTGAGTCTTTTAGCCCAAAGCCGGAAGAAATGCCAGGAATGCTTGGGACAGGATTCTTCCATGAGATGGATGGCAGCCATCGGGAGCTGTATGTGGAGAAGGAGCCCATAAATTTAGGGGCATTGGTTTTTTTATTAGGGGGAAGTACTTTTATGGTCATCAGATCTTCAAAAGCATCCCGGAGTCTGTAGACAGAGAATGCAGTGCACGTGTGTTTTACAAAAATGAAAATAAAATTAAAAATAAAGTCAACAGATATTTTTCTGTTACATGTAACTGTTCATAGAAACCCGGTGTCTGCAGCTGCTCCTGTTTTGCCGGCAAGACAGTGGCGAGGCAGTTGCCTCTGGATGCATTGTGATTTCTCCTCTTTGGTGGATGGAGGCCTGGGGCATGGACAGGAAAGCCCAGGACCTTTGTCCTCTTCAGTTGGCTGCCTGGACAGACAGGCAAAGAAGCTCTGCACACAGTGATGCAGGAGCTCCATGATGTGGGAATGGGAGGGGGGTCACAGAGGCAGGCAGAGCTGAGGCGCAGGTTAGGGAGGGATATTCTTTTACTGTTTTCTTCACCTTTGCTCTAGATGAAATCATCCTTGTTTTGGCAGGTTTGTAGAGATGGGATGAAGAGATGGCTGTCTGACCAGGGAGCCTAGAATGTCCCTACAGGCTCCTGCTTGAGAGCAGTCTTAGCCCTGAAAGCCAGGTTGTCCTTTTGTGTTGTGAGGATGCATCCTTAGAGTTTAGAATGGAGTTGTGAGTTCGCCTGGCCTAGATGCTCTTAAATTCCCTTCCCTTTGCAGAGTCGAAGCAGGTATTAGTGTGGAGACACAGGGTATTTAGTGTAAGGGAACAATCTGTTTATCTGTGATGGTGGGAAAGGATTCTTATTGACTTGCTTCTTGGTAGACTTGAGAGTGAGCCAGGATGCAGACAGGTGGTTTGAGCCAGCTTCCTTGAGCTGGTCTGAGGCCCTTGGTTCCTTCTGCCTGGAGATGGGTGACACTTGGGATTGTAGTTTGGTTCTGAAGTCTCTCCATGCCTTCTGCCGGGCCATCCTCTCCCTGACTTTGTTGTTCCACAGGAGTTGTGGATATTGTGGTGCCAGTGGTGTGCATACTGCTCCGGAAAAAAATAGAGGGCTTCATAAAATTTAGACATGGGCCAGTCACAGAGAAGAACTGGTAGGAAGGTGAGGAGAGATGTGCATGAGGACTTTGGCTCTGGCATTTTATCTGGCATGGACTGGTGTCCATAGAGTATGTTGGCTCATGCTGGTGACTTTCTGCTGTTGAGCAGAAATCTTCCTTGGATAGAGAACCTGTTAGGAAGGGGTGGGGAGGAAGGAAGGAGGATTGCCTGGTGACCATGGTCCTCCCCTGAGGCCCCAGCTGCATCATCTCAGGTTCCCTGTGCTTGGGGAAGGGCCTTCTGTCATCTCCATCTGCTCACCTTAGCTCCTGCCCTTTACAAAATTGGAAAGCTTTCATCTGGAGCCCGAGGGCACAGTACTACTTAGACGGCCCAGTCTACAGTGAGGTGAGAAGCTCATGCATGAGAATGTAGAGCTCTGTCTTGATGTCCCCGCCATCAAGAAATTCTGGTCATGGAAAAACCATTAGAACTAGACAAAGTGCTTACTCTGACATAAGCGAGGTGCATCCGGCCTCATAGAAGCTCCCTATCTAGTGACCAGCCAGTAGCACAGTTTGCCATTTGGGAACTGTGCTCTGATGGCCTCTCAGTGAGAAGCCATTGTTGAGGTCTTGGAATCCTGTGCTTGGGGCTGTCCAGGCAAAGCCAGAAACACAGAGCCCTGGCTAGGAAGAGCTGCCACCAAAATGTTTTATACATGGGTCAGGGCGGTTACTGGGTTAAACGGAGCATAACCAAAAGGAAAGTTGAACACAACCAGGCAGGGCCAACACGGTAAATGCTGCGCCCTCCCTTCCCTTGCAGCGCGGCACGCGAGCTGAGGAACTCGAGCTAGGGACTTCCCTGGGAGTCTTGCAGATCACTCACACTGAGTTCACCCTGTTCTCACAGGAAAACGACGTGTGTTGGAGAAGAACATGTTGATTGTCTCTGTGACCACAGCGGGATGTAACGACTTTCCTACTTTGGAGTCAGTGGAAAATTGTGAGTCCCACCCTGTTCCCTGTCCTAGAGAGTGAACACTTGTCTGGAGTTTATAACTGAACATCCTGACCTAAGTGCTGATGGTTGAGCTGGAGACCCTCTGCCCATGGAGACTTAGGGCCACCAGGTGCTAAGAGCTATAAAAGATGAGATTTTGCTGTGCAGCTCTCGCCAGTGCCTGAAGGTTGGCTGTTGTGCATCACTGAGTCCCACAGGACACCTGCCTTCTGGACTGAGTACATACAGTACTTTGAAAAACATGTGCACACTTTCATGGTTTTCTCTGAGATCTGATATTGGAGAAAGGAATTTGGGGTCATTTATACTGAGATTAAGTGAAGTCATTAGTCCTTTGACCACCTGTCTTCCCTGAACAGCAGACTGGGAACTTCTCAGTCTCCAAAGTGGTAGCATTTTAGTCTTTGCTTCTTCCCCACATTCTTGGAGGAAGTAGCAGAAGCCTAGAGAAAAGGGAAGGGAGGTTAGTTACAAAAGCTTTGGGAGCGTCCCATCATCCCCGCTTGACCCTCCAAGCCTCCTTACTCCCTTTGCCGGTGGCGGGGGGTGGTTCACACTTTTCAGCGAAAGGCTGATAGGATCTCATGTTTCTGGTGAGGAAACTGCCCCACAAGCCGCATGGTGTTTTACAGAGGACTCTGCTTTGGCCTTCGCACATCACCTGCTGGACCTGCAAGCCACTGTGGTGTCCACCCTTCAGCTGTCCTGCTTGGGTATCATGTCTTCGAAAACTGTGTAAAGTGTGAGAATAGAAAACTAACCAAATGAGTTGTCTTTGTCATTTCAGACACCCTGAACATAAATGATGACCAGTGTTTACTCCAGTCTCAGAGTATCTGGGGTGCTCTCCGAGGTAAAGAGGTGGGACTGATGCAGAGTGGAGGGTAGAGGTGTGATGGGGACAGTTGGCATTGGTGGGGTAGGAGGACAGGCATGGGGGCCAATGAATACTCTTAGCAAATCCTTTAATGAGGAGCCCAATTGGAGTGTTCCTCAGCCCCTTGCTATTGTGCCTAGCAGTTGGCAGGTTTCAGTCTGTGCTGCAGCAGCACAGGGTAGAGGGAGGGGTGGGGATGAAGCGGGGGCAGCTGGGGAAAGGACCAACACTGACAGGCTGAGACAGAAGTATAACTTGAGCCCAAGAGTTGGAGGAGCCCAAGAATTGGAGGCCAGCCTGAGCAATGTAGCAAGACCCTACCTCAAGGAACAACAGCAACCGTATTTTAAACGGTAATAGTAGCAAAATATGTAGAACCCTGTTATAGGTACAGCAAATGAGGGGTTTACCAGCCTGTGAGGTCCCTGCCCTTCCTCTTGGCTTACTGAAAAGGGATTTGGTCCCTAGAAAAAGACTTACAAATGACTTACAAATGCCTTACTCTTTTTGTTCAAACCTCTGCTAATGAAGGATGAAGAAAATCCTCAGATTCCACACTTTGCTTTATTTTGTCTTTATTCTGCTGCCCCTCTGCACTCTGGAGAAACTGTACACCAACACCCCTGCTGCCCTCTTGCACCTCTGTGAAGGTGCTTTTTAGTTGAGATTCTAGAATGCTGGGTGTCAGGGGTCAGAGAAGGGAGAGGCCCAAGCAGTACACCAGCAGTGTGCTTCATGTTTGGTTCTGACTGACCACTTAGCTGTCATGGATTCTTTCATTTTGAAGTTTGGGGATGCTCCGAATCATTCATGGAATTTTGTTGGGTTTCTAGAAGTGGGACCCTAACTGTTGAGAGCGGATCACACTCAGCATACCTATGCTTGGACCTTGTTGGCTTCTAAGGGACTGTGTCAGTGGACTGGTCAGCCATCGGGGCAGTTGCCGCCCACCACACCTTAGTCTATTTGGGTCTCTTCTTAAGTGCTAAGAGAAAGAGTTGATGGTTCCTTGTCTTCTAGGTCCAACTGTGGCCTCCATTCTTGAAAACTCAATCTTAGGACCACTTTCTTATAGTTAAATCTGGGAGAAGTGAGCAGTAGAATGGGGTCCCCACCTCTCAGCTCCCTCAGCTCCATTAGCTCCTTAACCCCTGGCAGGCTTTCTCGTCCCTGCATCTGTCCTTATAAGCACACATTTGGCATTGTCTCCATAATTTTCTTACAAGTTCAAGGCTCAGGAAACAAGGATAAGAGGTGAGTGTTAAAGGTTAGTGTGTTGCAAGGGAGGCACCGAGACCCCTTGCACTTTTACCTCCCCAAATGAAATACGAAGTACCAATGGAGACTGGCTTCCTCATACCCCTTTTCATAAGTGTTGAGGACCATCAGGCCTGCACTACATCCATTCTCACTGCCCACACGTCAGTCTCTGCCTCATCAAGAACCTGCCAGTCAAATGCATCTCCTAAGTCTTTTTTTTTTTTTTGGGCGGGGGGTGGGGTGTTACTGGGCTTTGAACTCAGGGCCTACACCTTGAGCCACTCCACCAGCCCTTTTTGTGTTAGGTATTTTCGAGATAGGGTCTTGAGAACTATTTGCCCGGGCTGGCTTCAAACCGTGATCCTCCTGATCTCTGCTTCCTGAGTAGCTAGGATTACAGGTGTGAGCCAAGGTGCCTGGCATAATTGTTCGGTTTTTTTGTTTTATTTTGTTTTGGCAGTACTGGGGCTTGAACTCAGGGCCTCACACGTAGGCAGATGCTTTACCACTTAAACCATTCCACCAGCCCTCCTGAGTCTTCACCTTGCCTCTCCACTTCTCCACAGGTCTGGAGACTTTTAGCCAACTTGTTTGGAGATCTGCTGAGGGCACGGTGAGTGTGGGTCTCCCAGAGAATGCCTTTTAAACTCTTGAATTTTTCCAGTCTCCTGGAAGATAGTGAGAATCCTGGAAAAAGTTTCTTGTTTTGCTTTAGGTGGGTTCCAATGGTTTAAGATTGCCCCAGCAGGAGTGTTGGGAGCTGTGGGTGGAGAACCACTTTGGTTGATAATGACATTGCTCTGAAGATAAAAATCCACAGTTTGTAAGCTGGGTAGTGTATGGGACAGGACAGTTACTCCGGGCAGATGACTGGCAATGGTCTTTGGGAGTGGGGCTTAAGAACAGAGCTAATCTGCAGGACATTCACAGACTGACTTTTCAGTGACCTTGGGAGAGTTTTCCTCATTCCCCTGCTCCCATGGTATACTCCCTTTGAATCCGACATGTTCAATGTTTGGTCACACAGTTCTTTATCAACAAGACCAAAGTTGAGGACTACCCCCGCTTCCCTCACCGGGGCTTGCTGTTGGATACATCTCGCCATTACCTGCCGCTGTCTGTCATCCTGGACACACTGGTACGCAGGTCTTCAGGCCGCCTTCATGCATAGGGTTGGGGTGCCAGGCAGAGAGAGAGAAAACGAGCCCTGGGAACAGTGTAGAAGGTTACCTCCTTCAAAACTCAAAAAATAACATGAGTGATTGAAATCTGTACCGCTAGTTACTGTGGCTGTTGGCAGAAATACAGAAGGTGTTTAGGGGAGTTGGCTTCTCCAGCCAGACAGAGCTAACTGGTCAAGTTAGGACAAAGTTACTTGAAAGGTGTGTTCAGAGCCCTGGCCGGGGAAGTTCCTAGCTCTTGAGTTTGATGTGTAGTCTTTTCTGACAGTAGCTGGTCCCACTCAGGTGTCTGCCTTTTCCTTTGCTCCTCTGGTGGAGCCAATGGAATTGACGCCTGTATTACCTTAGCTTCTGAGATTTTTTGAGCTATGGGGCAGCTGAGTTCCCAGAAGGCCTCACAGGGTGGATAAGCACCAGGAGATAACACAGCACAAATGGTAGGAAGAAGAGCTGATCTTGAGACTACTTGGGGACTTTTGGAGACATCAGGTACCCCAGTAGTTACAGCCTTCCGTCGTGGCCACCTGAAAGAGGGGACACGATTCTGCCAGCTGTTTCTGGATGTGCCCGAGAACGGAAAAGTGTGCTGGGATCCCCTCCACGCCAGGCCCTCCTTTTTGGAAGATTTGACAGAGAGACCCTGTAAATGCTTGAGGTTGGGCAGGTTTGGGTGTGGGGCAGCAGAGGCGGCGGCAGGTTGACAGCGAGCTCTGGCCCGCAGGACGCCATGGCGTACAGTAAGCTCAGCGTGCTGCACTGGCATCTGGTGGATGACTCTTCCTTCCCCTACGAGAGCCTCGCTTTCCCAGAGCTCTCCAGAAAGGTACGCGTGCGGTTCAGCCGGCCTGCGCCCGGCCCGCGCTCGGCCCGCGCTCGGCCCGCCGGCGCGATCGGCCCGCGCTCTGCCCTGCGCTCTGCCCCGCGATCGGCCAGCGATCGGCCCGCGATCGGCCCTGCGCTCTGCCCCGCGATCGGCCTGCGCTCAGGCCCGCGCTCGGCCCTGCGCTCGGCCCGCGATCGATCGGCCCGGCGGTGCCCTGCTGGCGAGAGCAGTGGCTCCTCCTAACCAGGTAACCAGGCCCACTGACAGAGGAGAAGGACGGTGACTCTGGAGTCAGGATACTTTAAGTCCACACTTTGCAGGAATTTGCTTTGTGACCTTCGGGAAATAATCTCGCTTTACTTTTATTGATAGGCTGTTCAATGGATATCACCCCTGCCCTGTTTATCTCACTGCTGTTAACGATGCTGAGATGAAACAGCACATACGAGAATTCACAGGGGATATTATGATAAAGCTCTTTGAGGACACTCCTTGAGATAGGCGTGGTAGTTTATACCTGTAATCCCAGCTCCTCCACAGACAGATCTGCAGGTTTGTAGGTTGATGCCAGATCAGGCGTGAAAGTTAGTATTAGTAGTAAGACCCCCATCTCAACAAACAAGCCAGGAGGGGAGGTGCAAGCCTATCATACTAGCTGTGCGGGAGACCTAAGTAGGAGGATCACATTCCAAAGCCAGTCGAGACCTTTCTTGAAAAGTAACCTAAAGCAAAAAGCCACACTTGAAGTTGGCTCAAGTCATGCCTAGCAAGTGCAAGGCTCCGAGTTTAAACTACAGTACCACTACCCAAAAAAAAAGTAGTTTCTGATTCCCAAAGGCTGTTCTGGTGTCTGGGGAGTCTGTGGACATTTTGAGTATCTTCTACCCTGATGGCCTTAAGGACATGAGTCTAAAAGGTGTCTTGTGCCTTTCAGGGGTCCTATAACCCTGTCACCCACATTTACACAGCACATGATGTGAAAGAAGTCATCGAGCATGCGCGACTGCGGGGCATCCGAGTTTTGGCAGAATTTGACACTCCTGGCCACACTTTGTCCTGGGGACCAGGTAAGCATCCCGCCGCGGTTGGCGCTTCGAGTGGGGCTTCGGGGCGTTGACCCTGGGATGTGACTTGTGGAGGAGTGTTTTCCATTGGCTTCTCCTGCCTGGGAATATACATGGCGAGCACTTAACTTTGGGAAAGGGGAGGCCACTTTTTACTCTCAAAGTGTGGCAGATTCTCCCCAATACCCATGTAGGTTGCTGTACCCTAGAGTGCATACTGAGGACTGCACCCCTCCACCCCCACCTCCCACCACCCCCCGGTAGAATTGGAAAGAAAGAAACTCGGGTGACCTACCCAGGTCAGAGTTGGACAGTCACTGCCCTGGCGCACTCACTTTCTCTTCTTGTATACACCTGGGCTCCAGGGTGAGTCCCCCCCACACTGACACCCAAAGCCAGTTACAGGAAATTGGAAGAGGCTGCCATCTGGCCTCAACAGGAAAGGCTCTGGGCCCTGAGTGATGCACCATAGGTGCAGGTGACAGTTGGCCCCTGCACAGGAGGAGATAGGGAAGAAAGGTGCCACCAGTTTGTCTCTGTCAGGCCTAAAGGCTGTGTGAGGAAAGCAGCCTTTGAGATCAGGGTAACTTCGGCTGGAAGCAGCATGTCAAGGCAGCATGTGGGCTGACAGTCATCTGGCTGTGACCTTGCTAACTGGTCTCTGACTGTGAACATATTTGTATTTATTTGAGGCACTACAGTGTGTGATGCTTGTGAGCACAGTTGTCTCATTTTTTGTGATTTACTGTTCTTACGTGCAGGACAGTGCATGGAGTCTGCGTGTCTGTGACACTTGTGTGGGTTCTCTGTTGACAGGTATCCCCGGGTTACTGACTCCTTGCTACTCTGGGACTGAGCCCTCTGGCACCTTTGGACCAGTGAATCCCAGTCTCAACAATACCTATGAGTTCATGAGTACATTCTTCTTGGAAATCAGCTCTGCCTTCCCGGATTTTTATCTTCACCTCGGAGGAGACGAAGTTGATTTCACCTGCTGGTATGAGCCCTTTGATCTTCACACCCCCAGCTGATAAATGGCCTACTCAAAGTGAAGTCAGCCTTGTGGGAGCCTGGGCCAGCTGCTGCTCGTGGGCTAACCTCCCAGACAGTGATCCGTCTCTGCCCAGAGAGGCCCCGTGTGACTTCAGCAGGGCTGTCACGGTGAACCCTCTCTTCCTCCTTTCTCATATCCTTGAGCTATTTATGGAAGTACTAGCTCTCAGCTCAGAACTGTTGGAAAAAATCCAGGATAAAGGAGAATAATCCCTGCTTATAAGGCTTAAAATAGTCTGATCAGAGTCAAGCCCAGAATTCGAGATTAATAGATCTAGTTAATATTAAAACATAAAGGGAGCTCACAAGAGGCTGAGGTTCTTCTTTGCGAAGTGGGTGTCCAAGTTGGATCTGGGGAGCTATTTCAGCATTTGGGGGACAAGAGGAGGGGAAATATTCCAGGAGAAGAACAATGGAAACAAACATAGATGTCGCGGAGCAAGAGGTCTGTAGCGAATGACAGACAGCAGGCAGGGAAGCCAGAGCCCAGAGTGCCGGAGCTCCTGGCCGAACCTTGCACTCTGGTGTGGTAGTCCATAGAGAGATGGAGATCATTCTCTTTGGGAACTTGGACTTGAGACTCTGAGGTCCAGACTCGCTCTTTCTCAGCCTGTGTCAGCAGTCCTTTCACACAGATTTGCTTGGCCACACCTTCCATATTCAGGAGTTCAGATACGCAGGAGGCCAGGTGACTAATCACTAGGCCATAGGCTTTCAGGAAAGTGAAGGAATGACTCTTCATTTTCTCTTTGAATTCAGGAGGTCCAACCCAGATATCCAGAAGTTCATGAAAAAGAAGGGCTTTGATGACTTCAAGCAGCTGGAGTCCTTCTACATCCAGACGTGAGGAGAAAACAGGGGTGGGGTAACTTTGGGGTTACCTCCTGTAGGGTCCCTGTTTTCCATACCAGAGTCCAGACCTGCTTGACCACTCTCTGAGCTCCCAAAGGGTCTTAGTCCTCTTTTCTGGTTTGACATGCTCAGGTTCTGGTCCTGGAGAAGGCAGTCAGGGAGAGCCTCCTGTCTGGGTGAAGTGGACCCCCAGAGGTCTGACCTGCATGGCCAAGGGCCTGAGTGGGTGACTCGGACATGTAATGCTTCTCTCTTCTCTAGGCTGCTGAACATTGTCTCTGCTTATGACAAGGGCTACGTGGTGTGGCAGGAGGTGTTTGACAACAAAGTAAAGGTGAGCCGGGGCAGATTAGGGTCCCGGTGATGCCTCTGGCCGTGTCTGGGCCCCGCCTCCCCAGTGTGCACTAGGCTGTGATGACCATAGCACTAGAGCCATCTCTTTACTCCCCTCTAGAAGGGCTGAGGAGGGGTGAGCCCCACACCGCTCATAGACCTGGGTCTTCTGGGCCTGGGGGAGCCAGGCTCCTTTTCTGTTGTTGATCAGTAAGATCAAGCCCCAGAAACTTGTGGAGACTCTTGGATGTGGTGGCTCCTGGACACTACTGCTTGCCTCCCCCAGCTCCCAAGCCAGGGTTACCTCTCCCTATGGCCAGGGAGGCTGCAGAGTGATGGGGGGGAGCAGAGCTTCAGGGAGCCCTGCTAAGAACGATGGACATCTCTGCTCTGCAGGGGCATGAGCTGAAAAGTGTGGAGACAGAAGGAATATCCCCTCGCCTGGGTTGCTTCATAAGAATGAGGCTCAGAAATTTCCTGAGCATTGTGCCATTACTGTCCTTTGAACTTTTGGACAGGTTCGGCCAGACACTATCATACAGGTATGGCGAGAAGAAATACCAGTAGGCTACATGAAGGAGGTAGAAGCAATCACCAAGGCTGGCTTCCGGGCCCTACTCTCTGCCCCCTGGTACCTGAACCATATAACTTATGGCCCTGACTGGAAGGACATGTATGCAGTGGAACCTCTGGCATTTGACGGTGAGAGCAGGGTGCTCTTGCTGATCACAGAAATCTGGGCTGGGACACAGGGTGGGAAGCAAGAGGGTCTGGGCTTAAGAAATGAAATGACCTGCCTGAGGAGAAGGCCACAGTGGGATGGAAGTTGAAGGCAGTATTTAGGGCAACTCTTGCACATAGCAGCCTGTTGTTTTCCCTTAGGTACCGCCAAGGAAAAGTCTCTGGTGATTGGTGGAGAGGCCTGTATGTGGGGAGAGTATGTGGACAGCACAAACCTGGTCCCCAGGCTCTGGTAAGGGTTTCTAGGGGAGACGGAGGTGTGCTTGAGAGCAGGGCTTCCCGCTTGCAAACTCAGTCCCATCCAGCCACCTAGAACCTTCTCTTCCTCCGTCAGAGAAGGGCTTTGCAGCAAGCCTGTTTGTGTGTCACTTCATGCGTCCCTCCAACAGACACTGGTGTGTAGAATAGTTATTCTTATTCCCTGGACAACACAGGGGTCTTGCACAGTTTCTAGTACTGAGAGTGTGGGTTCTGTCTGGCCCATTTCTGCTGTTTCCTCAGCAGCTCCCCAAGCATGGCTGCTGTATCAAGGCTACGTTTTTCTGACATCTGCCACTGCTGTCAGTACCAGCTAGTGATGCCTTTAAGACTTTTTGTTCTGCAGTCTTTGGGAAAGGGACAGAGTGGGCTCACTGTCCACATTTTAATAAGATGGAGCTGAGCCTTACACTGCTTGGAGCAGTCCAGCCAGGCTGTTCACTGAACAAGGCATCAGTCATGTATGCCCCTTGGCCCTGAGCTAGTCCAAGCCTAAACAAGAGGCAGCAGTCTGCAGGTGTCTAGTGTCCCAGGAAGCACAGGACCCAGCTTGCTGCATGCTCCCTCTCCCACAGGCCCAGAGCCGGGGCCGTTGCTGAGCGGCTGTGGAGCAGCAACTCGACAAGAAACGTGGACTTCGCCTTCAGCCGTTTGTCACGCTTCCGCTGTGAGCTGCTGAGGTGAGCGGGCTGTGGGGGCCTCCCCAGTGTGGGGTAGGCAGATCCAGGGCTCAGGACCCCTTACTGAGAAGAAGAGGAATGACGAGAACTGCCACTTACAGAGGCTTCCTCTGTGGTAAGCCCTGTGCTTGGCTCCTGACAGCACTGCCTGTCTCATTGAACTTGCACCACAGTCAGGAGGTAGGTACCTTTTACCCCCATCCTCAAAATATACCGCTGAGGCACAGAGTAGTTAAATACCTTGCCCAAAGTCACTCAGAGGCAGGTTTGAACCAGGTTGACTTGTATGGGGCCTCGTGGTACCCCGTGCCTCTGTTGAGGGTAGGCCTGTGTGGTAGTCATTTCCTGAGACAGGTGTTAACTAGGTCTTGGGGATGGGGACACAGCCTAGTGCAGATCCAAGCAGAGAGGCTCACATCATTGGGTCTAAGCCTCAACTGTACCAAGCTGGGGACTGGGCTGGCTCCTTGCCACCTCTAGGAAGGTAAGGAAGTGTGCCTGCAGGCGCCTGAAATAGATGAGTCAGGCCCTGAAGGTTGTGACTCTGAGACCTAAGAACAGGAGTTCACCCCCAGTGCATGGATTGGACAGTGTCTCACCTCAGACCCCTCCCCACTGAAGTCAGCGTATTCGAATCAAGAACAAGCAGCCAAGTAGTCCAGAAGCACTGGGCGCCCCTGGGCATCAACCTCTTTTGTAAAGGGGCCCAGTTACTGTCCTGGGATGCAAAGGCGGGCAGCATAGAAGCAGGGAGGGTTCCCAGTGAGAGCCTCTAGAAGTGAGGCCCTCGTGTGATACTGGTGCACAGTGCCATTTGGAGGCTCACTTGAGTGGGGGCGGGTGTTGACTGTGGTGGGAGAGGTGATTTCGGGGTCTGTGACTGAGGGGCTCATCTTGCCATTGTTTGTGTCCTTGCAGGCGAGGTGTCCAGGCCCAGCCTCTCAGTATAGGCTACTGCGAGCAGGAGTTTGAGGAGACCTGAGCCGACAGCTCCAGGCACCAAGGAGGGTGCTGGCCCTAGGAGAGCAGCAGTGGGGCCAGGCGTCCACTGCGTCCCAGCCGGGGACGGAGCCCCTCGACCCCGTGCCCTGTGCCTGGAGATGAGGAGGCCGGTGCTGGCACTGGTGTTCAATAAAGAGTGATGTGCCATTTTTCTATGATGAGCATGGGTAACCTGTGTAAAAAGGAAGAAATGCAGGTGATGCAGTGGCTTACGCCTGTAATCCCAGCTACTCAGAAGGACGAGATCAGGAGGATCTCAGTTTGAAGCCAGCCCAGGCAAATAGTTTGTGAGACCCTATGTTGAAAAAACCTATTGCAAAAAAAAAAAAAAAAAAAAAAAATGGTGGACTGTCTCAAGGTGTAGGCCCTGAGTTCAAACCCCAGTACTGAGAAAAAAAAAAAAAATGTGAGGGGCAATGGGTAAGGGAGTGGCCAGGACTGGCGGTCAGTGCCTGAGCATGGTAGAGCATAGCCTAACCAGGCTGGACTCAGGACCGGGCTTGGAGAATCTTGACAAGTTGAGGGCTGGGCCTCTTCTTCCCAGCCCAGCCTTGGCAAGGTCACTTCCTCATCACAGCTCCAAGGTTTCTATAGAAGAAGGAGGGGTGGCTAGGAGTGGTGGTACACACCTATAATCCCAGCTACACTGGAGGTGGAAATGGGAGGACCACAGTTTGAAACCAGCAAAAAAAAAGGTTAGCAAGACTCTCATCTCAAAAAGCAAGTTGGGCATGGTAATAGATGCCTGTAATCCCAGCCATGTGGGAGGCAGATGTAGGATTGTGCTCCAAGGCCAGCCCAAGCCAGAACTGAAGACTGTCTGATAAACTAAAGAAGACGGGGCTTGGCTGAAGTCGAGTGCTTGCCTAGCAAGTGTAAGGGCCTCAGATCAAACCCCAGTACCGAAAGAAAAAAAAGACGGAGGAGCTGAAGGAGTTCTGGGCAGCCCAGTCTCGGAGTCTCACCTCCCTTTCCGTGCACAGGCAGGCCTTCCTCCCCAGAGCTGCCCCTCCTGCGGCCGGCCGGTGATGAGGGGTTGGGTGTGAAAGACTTGTGCTCATGCGGTCACAGGCAGGGACCCTGCAGGAAGCGCCTTGCCCTTGAGTACCCTTGCGTCCCTGCTCCCGTCCCGCAGTGGAGGGCGGACCGCCCTCAAAGTCCCGGTTCCCGGTTCCCGTCCTTCTGCCAGCGTTTTCCTGCCTACCTGCCCACACGGCCTGCTGGCGATGGCCCGTGGCTGGGTGTGCTCCAGCGCTGCTGCTCTGGCCCGCTGACCATGAGGGCGCTTTCCCGAAGATGGTCAAGTCCTGAGCTGCCCACAGGTCAGGGACAGTGGCCCCCAGAGCGCGCCAGTCTGACCAAGGCAGCAAACCACTCCCTGCCCGGGGTGGGCGGCGGCCCGCACTGCTTTCCTGCAGTGAGCAGCTCTTGCCCAGCGCTGCTCTCCTGTGACTCTGCTGAGGAAGCCGAGGACCCGGTGACACAAGGAGTGGAGGGGGACACTGACCACGTAGGCCACCTCCCAGGACGGGTGCCTGCAGGTGTTCCTCGGTGGACCTCTGTAGGGCAGCACAGCAGGATGTGGGAGCACAGGTGCCACTGCAGCACGAGGGAGGTGTGTCACAACCCCCAGACTTCTGGGACCAGAGGGGCTCGAGGAAAGCCAAAGTAACACTGGAAAGGGGGGGGGCATGGACGATTTAGTTTGTGTCAATGTAGAGACACGCTTTGCAGTAACATTCCCAGCGTGTATAAAGTCCAGATTTGCATAAATTGTCCCTATCCTCTGTCCGACTCTGGGCTGGTGGCATGGCTCAAGTGGTAGAGCGCCTGCCTCGCAAACACAAAGCCCTGAGTTCAGACCCCAGTACTGCCAAATAAAGTGTAAGATTGACCTAAGGGTAGTTAAAATCTGATGATTCCGGCATGATAAATTGTGTGTTTCTTTTTTTTTCCCCCAAGGAAATAAGTAGGAATTGGATATTTTGTTTATTAAAATTATTCTGCAGTTTTCCTTTATACTCTGAAAAGTCAAACTTGGTATCCTTGCCTGTACTGTTACAACATACAGCATATAAATACATACTAATTTTAGTGAAATGTTCACTTGCTGAATTTTTCATTACTATTTTCCCTCTCTCTCTCTCTCCATATATATATATATACTCACACTTGTCATAGTTTCTAAAATTCCTTTTTGAAGCAGTCTGCGTAGGGGTGTGTTTTTGCATTTCTAATTCAGATTTTTTAAAATTCAAATGTCCATGAATTTATTTTTGTACAGTAATCACTAATCACATCTGTGCTACATCTGCTGCACTCCAGTGAACACTCTTACTGCATGAGTTAAATGGTTTGAGACAGAAGAGTGTAGCGAGTGAAGTGATGAATGGCATAACCACTGAGCCTCATCACATCTCTGCAGTTGTATCGTTTCAAGTGTTTAACTTTCAATTTTTTGGTGCTGGGATTGAACCCAGGATCTTTTGCATGCAAGGCAAGGGCTCTAGCACTGCTACAGCCCCAGCCCAGGTTTTTGTTGTTCGTGAGGATTTTTTGTTGTTTTTGAGACAGGGTCTTGCTATGTAGCTCAGGCTGACCTGGAACTTCCAGTCCTCTTTTGTCCCCCATCCTGGTGTTACAGGCATACAACACCTTGTCTGGCCTCCAGGTTTGTATTTGTGTGTGTGTGTGGCAGTATTAGAATTTGAACTCAAGGCCTCTTGAACCATGCCCCCAGCCTTCCAGGTTTGTATTTTTAAAGAGGTGAAATATTACATGCCCCCCCCCTTCTCAGTTCTATTCTCTTCCTTCCCCTAAACTACTTTCCATAATTTATTTTAAATCTCATTGCCTCTGGAGTATCCAATACTTAACTGAGTTTTCTTCATTGTTAATAAATTCTTATTGCTCACTTTAATAGCAAATTAGAGAGGTTTTAGAAGTCACACACACACACAAAAGATGACTCAAGTGTTGGAGCACTTGACCAGCAAACATGAGGCCCTGAGTTCAAATGCTAGGACTACCAAAAACAGGAAAAAAGTGTGTGGGTGTTAGGTGGCAGACACTGGCAGGCACACACTGGTGGAAGGGACTGCCGGCTTGCTGCAGAGAGCGAGCATGTATCTGGGTGATCTGTCTATTAGGAAAGACGATCTTTGCAGAAATCCGGAGAAAACTCTGCTGTTCTTTGTCCAGTGTAAGAATTCTGAATGAAGATGTATGTGGAGAGCCAACTAGGGGAAAAGTGCTTTGTCACTTTTATGTGTTTGTGTGTCGGGCACTGTCACAGCACTTGTAACATGGATGCTGAGGACTGTGGCTCAGTGGTACAGTGCTTGTCTAGCATGAGCAAGACCCTGGCTTGGATAGGTGACAACTCAACAACAGTGCGTGGCAACTGAATTTTATCCCAGCCAGTGAAGGTCGGTATCTGTAGTAGCCTGGTCTGGCAGAAGAGGGAACAGACGGAGAAGTGAAGTGACCTGTTCATGATTACATAGTTCCCCTGAGTCAAGATTTGTCCTCAGGTGTACAGCTCGAGCTTCACTAACCAACTGCCCTCCACCACGCGGCCATCAGCTGCCGTCAAGTTGGGACACCACACAGGACATACCATAAAGCTGGGAACTCCACTTCCCAAAGAGGCTCAAGTGCATGTCCTCCCCTGTCTTGCAGTGAATACAATTAAAACCTCTCAGTCCTGCGCTCCTCACGGAAGCTGCCAGAAACAATTTCAGGTTTGCCTCCAGTTCTCCACTTCCCATTAAGGCCTCAGGACCTGCAGTTTGAAGACAGACAGTGGAACCCAGAAAGAGGCTTGTGCATATACAGAAACCTGAAGATAGGCAGAGGTTACATTGCAGGCTAGCATGAAGATTTCTGAATCCTGTAGAAAAATGGTAGAAGCATGATTTTGAATCTTCAAAATTCTATAAAAACCACACAGAAAGCCAGGCATAGTGGTCACACCTGCAATCCCAGCACTCGGGAGACTGAGGCAGATGGATTGAGGGTTCAAAGCCAGCCTGAGTTACATTTTGAGACCCTGCCTCAAAAAATCAACAACGCCCCCACTATGACAAAACAAAAAGCACACAAGGCAAATTTAAAACCAAGGCACAATCTATCTTCCTTTAAATAAAAAGAAAATTTTAAATTTCCAAACAACCCGAAATCTATACTAACAGCAGTTTAGGAAAACTCTAGCTCACTCAAATTTGAGTAAAAACACACATACACACATATCAATACATAGGAGAAGAAAGGTAAGCACTGTTCAAAAATGGCAGCCACTTGTTCATAACGGTTGACTAGCTGATCGGAAGAACCTTGCGTCTGGAGGACGCTAAAGCACTACTTGAAGGAGAAATGAGAAAGACTGAGGCCCAGAATGGTAAACCCAGAATTTGGGGGCACGTCCCCTGGGGACGTGAGTCACCTGACAGCCTCACAGGGGAGGGCGATGGTGGTAGTCCAGGCTGTCAGAAAGGTCCCTAGAAGTCTCTCCACTCAATGTTGAGACCACAAAAGACCAAACTACAGGTAAAACTGAATTGGAAGTGGATGAATCCTGGCAAAAACTGCAGCCCAGCTTTGAATTATCTTAATCACTAAAATTAGTTTGATTGTCTCAGGTTGATAGTGTCTCCATGCCTTCCAGAAACAAATGTAAATCCATCTTGGAAAAAGAAAACATCCGCCCTGCACCTCCAGTTATTTCTAAAAACACCTTTCAAACAATGCCTGTCACAAAATCAGAAGCATTCAGGCACACAAAGAGAATAATGACTAATAATGATAAAGAATGTTCAAAAATGAGTGATGGACAACACGTTACGGATCCAGGAATCTTAGCAAGCACCGTGCAGTACAAAGGCACATAATGACCTCTGTGTATTACATCACATTCAACGCGGAGACTCAAAGACAAAGTCATGGGGGAATGAAGCCAGAGGAAATACTGCATCTACTATAGGGGAATGAGGACTTCCTGACATGTCTTCCGAAAACATGAGCAGAGTGATAGTTTTAAGAAAGAAAATGGAAGAAAAGCCCACCAATCTAGAATGAAGAAATTAAAGGCGGTCTAGCTAACTGGAGGTGCATTTCATGTTTGTGAGTTAGAGGAGCCAGTACTGTTCAGCCATCACTGTGATCTGCAGGTTCAAGCAATCCTAGCCAAAATTCCAGAAAGTAATTTTATGGGTATTGACAAGCTGACTTTGATAGTTTGGTAGTACTGGGATTTGAA